AGAATATATCAAGAACTAAAGAACTTATGTCTCAGCAGGATTTGGAAAAACTCATCCATGCATTTTTCTTCAGTTGACTGACTTGCAGCTGATTCACAATGTTACTTCATTATCACCAAAAAAGTGGATCATATCACTCCAGTTCAGAGGTCTTTACACTGGCTTACTGTCTGTCAAATAATGGATTTAAAAATACTGATGTTGGTTTATAAAACACTGAATGGGTTTGGGTGAAAACACATTTCTGATCTTCTGCTACGTTATGAACCATCCAGACCTTTCAGGTTTTCTGGGACAAGTCTGCTTTCTGTCCCCAAAGACAAAACTAAACATGGAGAGGCAGCTTTTAGTTATGCACCACATATCTGGAACAAACTCCCTGAAAAGGTCTGTTGCAACTTTTAAATCAAGACTGAAGACTGTTTTTGTTGGTTTTGAATCTTATTCTGCATTTAACTTTTACTCTCATGTTTTATGTTATTTTTAATTGTGTATGTCTTTTTTTTTATATTGCCATATGTCACTTTTACTTATTGTCTTGATGCCTTTTATGTTTTATGTAGAGCACTTTGAATTGTGACTTTGCATTGTTCAAATGAGCCATACAAATAAACTTGCCTTGTTTTGTATATTTTGTACTTTTTACTTGTAAAAATATATGTATAAGTCAGACTCTCTCACAGACATAAGCTTTCTCTTACTGCTGAAATTGATGGCTGAATCCTTCAGGTTCATTGACCTTAGCGCCATAAGAATTGCATACTTAAATTCGAATCAAATTACAGCAATGGTTATATTGATAATTGAATGTGTCTAATGTGGTTAGACAAACTTATAATCTTCCCATTTATCATTTTGCCTGTCATCACTAAGGCCCATATGGCATGACGAATCAATCCAGCACTGTATTCAACAGTTCATTTTATCATAAGCTACTTCAGCCTAAAGTTTGCCTGACTTTGCCAAAAGTTGCCAAGAGTTGATATGTATTATTATTTTTCAGTTTCTTTCCTCACTGATTTCTTTTGAGTTTTCTGTGAAACAGGCAGGAATCAAACCATGAGCCTTTCATTATTGTTACATGCAGATTTCACCTGGTGAGTCATTGACAATGCATATAGTCTCCTCTTTACATAATTGTTTAAATGTTATGTAGCATTAGGGAACAGATTAAATGGAACAGTTTCAATGGCAAATCATCTGACTCACCTTTGATGTACTTTATCATTATTCCATTTATGACTAAGTACTTTCAAAAAACTAAATATCTCAGTTCTTCAAAACAAAGTAAAATCAGTCAAATTCTGGTGACTGACTGAGTTTATGCAGCACTTTAATGATTCTAATGTCTATTTATGTTTTTTGGTGTCATAAAGGGCTCACAAAGAAATAACAGAATATAAGCATCAATAATATTATTAGACTGCAAATTGATTATGAATAATAACTAACAAGTAGAGACAGGACGATCAAGGAGGCGTCTGGTACGGTAATGATTCTTTTTTTATTGCTGTGGGTTTGCTGTCATCCACTTTATAATGGACTTAATGAACTGACAAAATATATAATATAAGTAGTATAGCAGCACAGCAGTTTTAACAGCTTTTGACCTATTAATCAGGGAAAATACCCACACTGATGAGGATACTTGTTAACATGGTTACCAAATGATTTTCAAGAATATAATATGGCTTATATAGATCAATTATAATATTAGGATCAAGAAGATCTTGAACAGATTTCACAGTCAGCAGATGGATTTATTAGTAGTGTAGGTTTTGAAGTCATGCTAAAATAAAATCCTGTACTGAGACCACTCTTTTTGAGCAGTCTTGGTATGTTAGTTTGGTCTGCACCAGGCTCAATTGACAACTTTCACACGATTCCAAATGAACCGTTCTTAACGGACCAGGGTCTTTTTTAACCGACCCAAACAGGTTAGGTGTTATAGCACAGTCACTTTTAACTCTGTAAAGATTAATTAAGTATATCTTGTTAAATACACATGTGGAGAAGAAATCTCTGTGGTCACTGTGACTAAGTAATATTTATTTAAAGGCCCAGTATTTAGTACTACTAGTGTAAATATTAGTTTGATAAAAGAGTTAAACTGTACATGAATGGTTAATTACATGTTTAAAACAGCTAGGTGGAATAATGCCAACTACATTTGAACACACACTGCAAACATGCTTTGTTGTGTTGAGATAATTATAGGGTTTTGTTGTTGTACTCATAGGTGCATTACAGGAGTTGGTGGCAGCCTGTATGAAAGAATGAATTTGTAGAACATATTGATGTGACTAAATTGACTAGAAAATAATTGCCCGGCCCTAGTTTATATATAGTATATCATCCCTTTACTTTAAAATCTGTCTCTCTGACCTTCTTGTGGAGTTGATTCCTCTGCAATCAATACTGTAACACATTTTTTTTTTTCAGCTAAAAAGTGCCATACCACATCCATCCCTTATCTTCAGCTGTCTCATCTCTAACAATCTCTACAGTAGATGCAGCTCTTATCTGTGGTTGGGAATCTAGTCAGTGTGTGTCACTGAGTCCTCCATGACTTCTTTATATTACGGTGCGTCCATTTGACAGAGGCCAAATAGACCAGACAGTTAATTTTATCTCTGCTCACCCACTCCTCGTCCTGCCACTCTTCCCTCACTTTTCCTATAGGTTTCAGGGTCAGCTGGCTAGACATACAATTAGGCCATCACTCTATCACCTGAGGACCACTGGCACTGTGTACATATGCGTGTGTGGGGGTGTACTGTATGTGTCATTGTCAGTGTAGCCATTTGAAACTGTACAAGGACACCATGGGAGATTATTTTCAGGCTTTCATAGTCCTTGTAATAGAGCAGATCTGAACTAGCTATCTGTAAGCGTGTCACTTTTTTTAACAATCAGAGGAGAGGACAGGGAGAAATAAAAACCCTGATGGCAAAGATAGTGATATTGCGAATGCCCATTTCATACTGTTGTATTGTGGTGGTTTATGTGCACACACATTTAAGCAGCATCACAAATATTTCCCCTCACATCCAATATTCCTCTCTTTTCCGCTCCTCCATCAGCTCAGAAAAAAGCAAAACTCATCTCATCTGTAAGTAAGGAGCAATAACAATAGCAGGGGCAGCAATGAGAATAGTAAATTTTGAAAACGGATCACCTCCCTCCTTCTCTCTGAAACAAGTCATTCAGGCAAACAAACGAGGGATAGAGAATATGAGCATATATGTGAGAGGGAGGATTGATGGGGGGTATTGATAGAATTTACACTCCTGGTTGAATTGACAATTATCCGCTAGATGAAATTGGAATTGGGTTGTAGTAGTGGTGGGGACATTTTTGCAGTGAAACCCAGATGCAAATATTGAGATAATTTACATGAGCGCTTGATACCCTCTCTGCCTCATATATTTAAGGATTTAATAGCCTACTTTTGTCGCAACTCTTCTTGAAAACAGAGGAAGAAAGAGAGAAAGGCGTTGATGGGGGAGGAGTGGATAGGGGAAAAGAAAGGAAGAGACAGATGCAGAATAGAGCTAGGAGCAAATTCAGCCCTTAATTTGCAAACCATAAGCAAATTATGGGTACACAATTTCTTCCCTCCTGCCAGTAGCTGGTGATGCAGTTTGTTTTGGCTGGCTTGCATTTCCTCCCTGCAATCCGTAAGATGGGCCAAATACCAAAGCCACCTCTCTGACCTGGGGAAAAAACACACAGGAAGTGAGTAAGGAAACAAAGAGATAATGGCAAGAAAGCTATCCATGAACACAATCGGTAGAAAAGGCTATAAAGTCTCGGTACAGTATTGCATGGAAACAACAGTTTCAGGGGAAAACAAAGTTGGTTTGCAGTTACAGTGAACCTTTAGGAAGGTTCTCCGAAGATATAATACCTCTAGGAAAAATCTGCAAAGGTTACATCAAAAAGAAAACCTAATAAAGACAAATAAATGGATAGAGAAGAAGAAAAATTTAGACAGATTGTTAAAATCTTATTTGCTTAGTGTTAAATGGTATTACAGTCCATCATTTTTTTATTAGATGATTCTCTGCACTCTATCTCAGTCTTTTTCTTTCTCACTTTACTGTTTAATGCTGTGAGTATCAGTGCTTGGGAGAACATCACAGTCATGTAAATCGCACACTCACTCCACAGTCACCTGAGTGATTTTGAGGTAGGGAAGCCTCATTAATCACGCCAAACCAATGAGGAGACAGAAAGCAAAGAAACAAGTTAAATAGGAAGTAGGTTCCTTCCCCTGGCTTCGTCAGACAATTGCATTTGTGACTATGATTGAGTGTGTTTGCCTGCATGCATGTTGGTGGAAAGTGAACTCCTTTGAGAGAAAGCCTCTGATGTATGAGCACTTACAAAATAAGTAGCTATGCTCAACATGTATGTCCTTGAAATAATAGCACACTAAATATTAGCTAAAAGAAATTTTAACCAGAGCAACCCAATTTAGAAAATACTATGTATACATTTGACATTAATTTTTTTTTTCGGGGGGGGGGGGCTATATACTATATATATATATATATATACTTTTCTATTTTATTGGCATATTTGAGCCAAATGTCGAATAGGATTTATCTGGATTTTTTTTTAATAACTGAAATACTGTACATGCTTTATTTCAAAAGCAAATAAACGTTTGAAATGTCTTCTACTGGTATAACCTTTACCTTACTCGCACAAACAATCACTGTCTTTACAGTATTGTATCTTACCTTGTACTTATTGTACACCACTTAAATTATAACCACTCTTGGACCTAGCAATTTCTAAACACAGCATCAGTTTCAACAACAGTAGGGTGATGCGACAGCTGAGCTCCTCACTTGAAATTGCAGTGTGTAGCAGGTAGAGGTTAGAGGGATGGCGGGGTAACATAATAAGCTACGAGGCAAATACTTTTTTACCATGTTTTCCTGTCAGTGAAATTGACGTGCTTTACATGGATTTTACAAGTAGTGAAAGAAATGGACGATACCTCTTGTGAAGTCCTTCAAGGTCTGTATGCCTCCTTCCCTTTCTGCCTCAGCACTTCTGGCACACACACTTCTTCAAACAAGATGAGTTGTAATTTATGCACGACCTGCCCTTGTATGTTGAAGTAAGAGCCATACAGTATAAAAGTCACCCCAAAACACATATATGCACACACACACACACTCACACACACTCACACTTCACGCCCCATGAACCTTTGCTGTGCTGACTGTGCTCTTGTCTTCCTTTAAGGTGTGGCACACCTGATGATTGGCGACCAAGGTATGGCCTCCTCTTACCTCACTTCCTGTTGTCCTCTGCTATACCATCATCCCCTATCTCCTCACTCCCACACTCACAACTCCCTGTATCCCTCCCCCACTTCATCACCACCTGGCGCGGGAGGAAGTTGTCTCTCTAGGCACTGAACTAAGGTCAGTTATTTCTTCATGTAATTGAGATTTCTTCATTTTAAAACGGTCCCACTTGGTCTCATCAGAAATTTCAGTTTTAATTTAAACTGAAATAGATGACTTGGGCATTTGCAATGGAACAATTAAGAAATAATAAATGGCCGTGAAGATTATTTTTTGGTTTGATTTTTGAAGAGGGTGATGAGCCTGAGAGCAACTTCTTCTGGTATATATACTGTAATCATGGCTGCTGATGTGGGTTAGGGTAATGGGAGGGGTTAGACAGCTGCGGCTTGATGGCGCTTGGCTGTATTAGATTTGGCAGAGCTCCAGGTCATGGAAATGGAGCTAAGGGCCACCTGACCAACTGACTCCATGGATGGTTTGAATTTGTCTTTTCTCTTCCACCTCATTTCAGTTTCTCTCATTTGTATGTGAGAGTGTGATTGCAGTAATGGGAGAGCTGAGTGTGTGTGTGTATGTGTGTGTGTGTGCACGATGTATACATATGTGTGCACGTGGGCTTTTACATCATGGTTCGAATCAATGGCTGTGGCAGTTTTCACAGGAACACTCATCCACATTCATCTGTAGCTTTTCATCGGCTTCCAGCATGTCTCGCTCTGCTGTCGCTGGTTCTCACATGGGCTCCTGTTCACACGTTGGAGAGCACATGTGATTCTGGACAGATGTTCCTGTGTATAAAAGCAATGCTGTTATACCTCAACCCCTAATTTGCCCAGTGCTTTTGAAGCCCAGCCCAAAAACAAGTGCCCTTGCTTTGCCTTTTGAAACAATTGTTCACTGATGAACAAAACTCACAATGCCACCTCTCTCTTCTTGCCCTCTTTCTCCTTCTTCCTTCTTTGTTCCTGCCCTCTTACTCACTGTTTGGGACATCACCCTCTGTGAATTTAGGAAAGCTCAGAGGTACCATCCCCTGATTTTTTTCATCTGTATGGCTAAATGGGCTGTTCTGGACTGTTTTGAAGTTGAATGTATTGACAGGCTCTTGTATGTATGATAATGTAGAACCCTTAGAAGCGTTCGGCTTCAAGTTATTATTTGTGGTTGCCGTTAAATTGGAATGTTTCATTCTTGGTAAGGTAAGCTGTTGATGCATGTGTGCGAGCGTGCTCATACTTAAGCGTGTGTGCGTGCATGCGTGCGACTGAATTGGAGCCCTACGGTCCCTTTGAAAATCTAAAGGTAGGTGCTGCTGGATCGGCCGACTCTGCATGACGCTGATGAATACACTGATTGACCCACATGAAGACAGGCCTTAATGTGACAGGCTGATCTGCGTCTATTGTGCTCTTTGATTGGATGAGAGAGGACATGATGACGGCTGTCTCCCATTGTGACAGGGCCGTCATGTATTCAGTGAAATGTGCTATTTAATGAAATGTTCGTCCAAGCTGGTGGATAGAAATATCTTGAATAGAACACAAACGATGTCTTGAACCATCTATCACCGTGAGACATCTCTATTCTGACAAGTATATTTCTATCTGAGCATTTCTGCTGTTTTGATTGCTTAGTAAGCTGCTACTGCTGTAGTTTCTGCCTTAAAATGTCTGCCATGAATCATCCAGGTGGCAGTGAAAATTTAATTGCTTCATCTGGCTTATGCTCAGCATTTTAAATCACCTACTTAAGGGCCGACATGTATTAACATATGTTTCCAGCATTATTACACAATGTATTCAGTGTATTTGTGTGTAGTGGATGTCCTCACTATTACGGATGTTTGGATTGTGATAGGCTGAAAGTAGAACTGTGGCTGATTTTTTTTCTTTTATTTTTTAAAAACCTTTGAAGTCTCTTTCAGAAACTGTACACATGAAAAAGCGGTGTGTGTGTTTGTGCGAGTGTGTTTTTGCTCTGCATACTGAGATGTAAAGGCTGTCAAATGGTGCAGACGAAGCCTAGCTTAGGTTAGCTCAGCGTAAAGAGGCTTTTTGAGGAGCCCGCAAAGCTGAAATGAGTTTCTTTGAGGGGGCGGATTGGGTGTGGGGAGGGGTGTCTTAGAAAGATATATAGCATGTGTGTCCGCTTGTGTGTGTGTCTGTGCTGGAGAAATTGAGAAAAAGCGACTGTGCCTGCGAGAGAAGAGCTAAAGGAATGAATGATAGAGGGAGTAGAGAGGGAAAGAGGAAGCGAGGGAGAGATAAAGTGAGTCGTCTTCTCTCCTGTGATGTAGAGCAACTGCCTGTATCTGCAAAGAGACAGCGGTGCTCCTGTCTGCCCTCCCAGCCCAGTCATTCTCCAAGGGACATCAGCCCTGATGGGGAGCCCTGGACCTTTGCCCTCTTCCATAAAACACAGCTATCATTCTCTCTGGAAACGATACCCACAGATCACTAATCACTTTGAGTGGGTGAAAATGCACGAATTGTGGAGGGAAGAAAGAAAAGAGGGAGCCAAATTGGATTTTCATAAGTATCGAGCAGCCAAAGGAAGAGGGGGAAATGGATTTTTTTTTCTTTTTTTGAAAAGTATTGAGCAGCAATAATCTGGATGGAAAATGTGCTTAAAGCCAAGTAGCAGATTTTGCCCTTTCTCTTCTCTCTGTCTGGCCAAGAATAGACCGTGAAGGGTTCTGGGTGAATGAGTGATTGTAGGTTCTGAATAGGATTGAGGAGTGGCTCTTGGATGTAATTGCCAGCAATGCTTGTTTATGATATTTATTTATTTATTTTTTAGCTTTTTGAGGCGGGTTGTTCGGTTAATAGCGGTTGTTTGTCTACATGTCCAAGTGTTCTCAATATCAATCCAACAATCTGTGCACGGCATAAACAAGTGGTCGGCCTCTCTTGAAGTGACCTTTACACACGCGCTTACATGAACGGACGGACAAACAGACACACACTCACACACAATAACCTTTAGAGAGTGCCCGCTGAGTAGGTGAGTGAGTGTGTGTGTTCAGTGTAAATATGCATGAGTAAGGCTGCCTGCACATATTCTTCACGGTCAGTGGATGAAGGCAGGAGAGGGAACGAGGTGTGTTTGTGTGTGCGTGTGTGTGTGTCTTATGCGAGTGCGTGTTCAGGGGAGGTGGATTGTGAGTCATCACTTGTGACTCATAAAGCGTCGGCAATCAAAGCGGCTCATTTTAACACATTGTCTTATGGCAAAAACACGCAGATGGACGAACACTCCACATACACACGTATGTTGAGTGTCACACTCTTTGGATTTCTCTTTAAATTGTCTCTTTTGTTTTTGTCCCTCCCCCTCTCTCTCGCTGTCTCCCGGACATACACATGTGCGTGCTTTCCTCTCAAAAACACACACATACACTCACGCAGAGGATGAGCTCCGTGCTGACTCCACCATATGTGGGGTTGGGAGCGGTAGCAGACGCCAAGACAAGAGGAACCAGTCAGTACCAGCAAAGTACAGCATGTCTCCTACCTCTTACTCATCATCATCTAACAGACCTAATAATAAATCACATGAGGAGTGATAATTCTTTAATAAAATACAGCTCAAATTAAACTAAACTAAATTAAAAAAACATTGTTGTTATTTTGATTATGTCATTATAATTTCTCAACGTATCTCATTGCTGCTGTTAAGTAAAAGTGCTCAAACAGTCTCAGTCAGGAGAGACTATATTCTGAGTGAACACATTGGCATTGTGCACAATGAAGATGAGAAATGTGAATAGTCTTTGGGGATTAGACCCTACGCTGACATATTTATATTTTAAGGATAGGTGAAGCGAGTAGTATAGGAAACCCCCCTGATGGAGTGTAGACACTGGTGGTGGGATGGGATGAATGGTTGAAGATGGGTGTGATGAGGAGTTGACTTCTGATGAGCTCAACCTGGGCACTGGATATAATGAAATGGAGGTGAATGGGTTGGCAAAGGGCTGCAACACTTTTGCACTGAAATGACAGCTGACAGCGGCAGAGAGATTTGTTTGACAGCAACGATTGATTGATAATTGGCTGATGGAAATTGTGGTAAAATCTGGCTTGTTTAACTAAAAGAGTAAACGTCCTTAATCAGCTGATTAGAAGAGGCAGGCAGAGGGAGAGGGAGAGAGAACTGCGAATGAATGGAGCATAACAAAAGTCTTCATGATTGAAATTACCCTGCGCTTTATTTCTCGATTGTAATTGTTCTGTTATTATATGTCAGTAAAGAGTGAAAAATACTTGTTATAATTTCACACAGCCCAAATTGATATCATCAGCTGTTTTATCAAAAAACCTAAACTATTTAAATCACTATCATGTATGACATAGAAGAGCATATAATGCGCACATTAGAGAAATAGTTGCTGATTGGGTTTTGGGCGATTTAGTAACTGGTTAATCATTGTAGCTCTCTTACTGTAACTCTTAACTGCAAATAAAATATAATTGTTGGTAAGCTTGGGATTTGGCAACCTAGGATGGGCATTTTTCACTATATTGTGACATTTATAGATGCAATTAATCAAGGAATTGGAAATAATCATTACTTGTAGTCCTGTTAGAAAGCAGTGGAGGAAGTTGTATTATATTTGTAGCTATAGGTGTAGTGCATCAACTGTGCCTGTATTTTTAAAGATTTATTTTCCCATTGTACTATAGAAATATTGCCCTTAGAATATCACCAAAATATCACCAAAACATTTGGTTTGCATTCGCCAAATTTCTGTGCCTGCTAGTAAAATCAGCAAAATAATTTAAATCTAGTAAATACTGTAACATACTCTATATTTGTCAATAAAACACATTTGTCAGACACACATTAGCCACTGTAGTTGTGATGCTTGCATAATTTAGCAAGGCGGGCAAGTGAGCAGTACCCAACTTGAGGTGAGAGAGAGCCGCTTGGTGTTAAGAGGCAAGTGTCTGGTGATTGGCT